GCGGGCGCCCATCGCGCGGGGGAGGCTGCCCCCTCCCGCGCCGGGGTGTCCATCTGTCTGTCTGTTTTCTTCCTAGCCCAGGCCAACTTCGCCCCCCACTTCTTCGACACATGGGTCGGCAGCACTGATGGGAACGTGGCTCTATTCAGCCTCCCAGAGGACACCCCTGTCGGTGAGGAGCCCTGGCACCGGCCTTCATTCCCCTGGGCATGGCACCTGGTTCCCCTGGACGTGGCACCTGGTTCCCCTGGACGTGGCACGGTTCCCCTGGACGTGGCACTCAACCATGATCTCCCAAATCTAGGGAGACCGGAGCACCAGGCTGCCTGGGGNNGGGGGGGGGGCGGCGGGCGCCGGCTGTGCCCCGAATTCCCCAGGGCTGTTGCTGGCACCTCAGGGCTGCCAGGGAGACCTGAGCTGGGCCAGTCCCAGAAGACTCGCTGGGGGCGCAAAGACAGAGCTGGCTCTAGGCGGCAGCAGGGCTGGGCAGCATGGCGGTTCCTGCTGGGCTTTGGTGCCCAGCACCCACAGCTGTGACCTTGAGCAAAGGTACTGACTCCCAGAGTCGCAGATCTTCAGGCTTAAAAATGGCCCAAGAACAGCAACTGCCTGGGATAGGCAGAAAGAGGAGAGGAGAAAGGGGAGAGATGTGCACTCCCCTCTCTCTCCGGTGGCTTGCGGAGCCCGAGCGGAGAGGTGGCAGTGTAAGGAGCCACCTGCTGGGAAGTCCCGAGGGACTAATCTGGGTGTGGGGACACCTGACCCTGCTGCCCCAGGAGCCACGCCTCCCGCCTTAATGGTGCACCCCTTTCCCACCCCCACCTGGAGCGTTCAGCTTTGGGCTCCTGGAGTCATCACCAGCCATCCCCAGCTGGCCCAGCAGCCTGAGGCTCCTCTGCAGTCTGTCCCTAGCCGAGGATCTGCAGAGTGGCTGACCTAGTGCCTCACTGACCGCAGTAAGAATGCGGGTGGAGGGGAGGCAGCCAGCAGGGCTGAGGCCAGCAGCTGGCACCAGCTCAGGGCTGTACCTTAGGCACTGAATTGCATATTTGCTGTTTAAACAGTCAAATCCTTGGTTCTAAGCAGCTGCCACTTCTAGGAGAATTTGGGTCCCAGATTCGAGGTCTCCCCTGTGTCTCCTTCCAGGTTCTCATGTGTACACCCTGAATGGGACAGACCCCGAGGGAGACCCTGTCTCCTACAACATCCGCTTTGACTCCAGCGCTAGAAGCATCTTTTCCATTGACCCCAATTTTGGAAACATCACACTGGTTGAAGAGCTGGACAGGGAGGTAGGGGCAGTGTGAGGAGCATGGCCTGTTGCCCTGCAGACCAGCATCTGTGGGCTGGAAGGTCCCCTCAAGATCGGCCCTCGAGAAGTCCCGTAAGCAAAACCTCAGAGGGCAGAGCAGGGCTGGTAAGCATGGTTTAGAGAGTAGGTCTGAGTCTGGTAAGACTCTACCCTTCTGCACTCTTGCACCTGCAGGGTGACAGGGCACGGCCCCCACACTAGGCTGGTGGGCATGGCTGTCCATGTAACTGCACCTCAGCTGTGGGGCTGCTGCCAGCTCGGGTCTGATGGCTGGCCACCCAGCCATTGGCCAGGGTGGAGAAGGAAGGTGTGGGTCTCAGAGACTGCAGGGAAAGTGTGACTGGGCTGTGCCTACCTGGGGAACTGGGGACCTCAACACCTTTCCTCACTGAAGCCCCGCTGTGTCCTGGGGAGTGATTGAGATGCCACAGACCTGGACCTCTGCAGAACTGTGGAATAGGGAGAGGCATGGGGGAGAGGCAGAGAAAAAGAAAGAAAAGGGAATAAAACCTTCTTCCTGGAACCTCCAGCACACTAGCGTCTCTACTCGTTCTAGCCAGGGGGCACTCTCCTGGCTCCTCAGCAATCCCTCTGGGTTTAGGAGAACCCAGGTGTGCAGAGCGCTGAAGGAAGGCATGGCCAGAGGTGGCTTTTGGGCACCCCGCCCTACTCCTTGCCTTCTCTCTCGGGCTCAGTGGAGCTGGGAGAGCTCCCTGGCCTTGGGACTCTAAGGTAGGTCACTCGTGGACACTCACTCGGTCCTTGCTTCGCAGAGGGAGGATGAGATTGAAGCCATCATCAGCATTTCTGACGGCCTAAATCTGGTGAGTGCAGAGCTGAGCTGGCTCCTGGGCAGCACAGCCTGAGCAGCATTTCCTCCCCCAACCTCCTGCGAGTGTGGGGACTCCCTGGCAATCCCAAGCTGAGGCCCAGCAAGACCTGCCCCAAGGTGCCCACAGGAGGGTCCACCGGAGAGGGCTGCAGTGAGTGAGGCCAGTGGGAAAGGGAGGGAAAGAGAGAGAACAGGGAGAGAACGGAGAGAGCGAGACTTGCCAGCTGCACTTCCAATGGAGGACACCCATGTTCCACAGCATCTCCTCAAGTTTGCTTTCCCATCTGCCTCCTCCAGCCTGGTTCTTGGCTCTGCCATCCAGTCACCCAAGCTGAATTCCTGGGCACCCAGATCCAGCTCCTTCCTTACCTCCTTCCCCACGGCCACCACTCTCCCCAGCCCTCATCAGTGCTTCCCTGGCAGCCACAGAGCTTCCTGCTTGCAGTCTTCTAGACCCAATCCACCCAGAATGGGGCCAGAGCCCTCACTGTAGAAACAGGCCTGGCCACAGCCTGCTCAGAAGCACTAACAGCTGCCCCCACTACACTCAGGATGAAACCCCAGCTTCAGTCTGGCATTCAGGGCCTCCCCGTTGGGCCCTATTGCCCTTACCCACTTTTTCTCCCAGATTCATCCCACCAACATCTAGTCATAAATCTACTTACATTTTCTGAACACATCCTGTGGCTCATTCCTCTTTGCATTTGCACATGTTGCTTCTTTACCTCTTCCCCTCTCACATGACAAACTGCTGCAGAGCTTAATTCTCACCCTACAAAGCCTCCCTGCTGTCCACCACCACAGGCTGGTTAGATGCCTCTTCTGGGGCCTCTGAATGCAGCCTCCTGCATTGTGCACCCACAGTCGCAGGGATGCATGTACCTGGGCCATGGTGTACATGGTGCTCCTGGAGTCATCAGAATTGCGCCATGCAGGCAGTGCCTGGCATGCCACTGTCATCACCCCGAATGATATCACTACCCGTCTTTTAGATGCTGATCTTTGCTCTGCCATCTCATCTTGCAAAATACACACCACCAGACTATCTTCTGCTTCTGAGGGGAACACAGTGCTTGGCACCAAGCAGTTGCTTAATAATATTGTTGCATGAATGAATAAAAGAAAGAA